GCTCTCGCGCTCTCTCTCTCTCTCTCTCTCTCTCTCTCTCTCTCTCTCTCTCTCTCTCTCTCTCTCTCGCTCACCCTTTGAGACATCCGTTGAGACAGGGTCTCTCACTGAACCTGAGCTGCCAGCAGGCAAGACTCAGCAATCCTCCTGATTCTGTCCTGCCCCCAGCACTGGGGTTGCAGGCACATGTAGTCATGTCTGGCTTTGACATGGTGCAGGAGAGCTGCTCTTCATGCCTAGAGCACGCTAACCTACTTAGCCATCTCTCCAGCTCCCAAACTCTTACTTTTTTCAAAAGGCAAAACTGTTTCCTAAGTTTGAGAACAGAAGGACCAAAGTTGTAAAGTGACTTAAAACAGTGATTTCACAGACTACAGCTGAGGCAAGGTGGTGGAGTGCTGCTGGCCTAGTAAGACTTATTTTTAGGCATACTTATTTTAAGGAGAGACTTAACTATTTCCCACTTCCCCTCCCTAAATAGTACTTGAAATGAGCAGATTTCAGTTAGGTAAAAAAAGGAAACTAAGAAGGCTGCCAACACTGGAATGTTAACTTAGAAGCGACAGATGTCTCTCCTCGAGTGAGAGCTAACCATAAGATAAACAGTCAGCTGCAGAGAAGGAAACAAGAAAGGAAAATTACTCCCTCGGAGTCCTTCAAAAACCTACTATACTATACTATACTATACTATACTATACTATACTATACTATACTATACTGCTGAACAAGCTCATCCCAGTGCCAGTCACCTCAACCCACTTCCTGAGACCCTGAGTAAGTCACACCCAGCCAGGAGGAGACAGAAAACAACACTGTGTCTTATCAGGCTTTTAAATGTTTGATGGCAGCATTCTAAACTGATTTAAAATATACGAACCAATTTCCAAAGAGCAAATGCACAGATAAAAAAGGAATAACCAGTCAAAAGAGTAAAGAGAATTAAGCTAAAGAGCATCTTCCTCCAAGTCATACGACTTACATCAACTTCAAGTCTGTCCTTTACTTCCAAAAAGGAATTGCTGCTGGATGGCTGGTCTGTTCACTTGTGATGTACTTAGTGTGAGTGTACACACGCACTGCTGCTGGATGGCTGGTCTGTTCACTTGTGATGTACTAGTGTGAGTGTACACACGCACTGCTGCTGGATGGCTGGTCTGTTCACTTGTGATGTACTTAGTGTGAGTGTACACACACACTGCTGCTGGATGGCTGGTCTGTTCACTTGTGATGTACTAGTGTGAGTGTACACACGCACTGCTGCTGGATGGCTGGTCTGTTCACTTGTGATGTACTTAGTGTGAGTGTACACACGTACTGCTGCTGGATGGCTGGTCTGTTCACTTGTGATGTACTAGTGTGAGTGTACACACGCACTGCTGCTGGATGGCTGGTCTGTTCACTTGTGATGTACTTAGTGTGAGTGTACACACACACTGCTGCTGGATGGCTGGTCTGTTCACTTGTGATGTACTAGTGTGAGTGTACACACGCACTGCTGCTGGATGCTGGTTTGTTCACTTGTGATGTACTTAGTGTGAGTATGCACATGTGGACATGAGAGGACAACTTGCAGAGGTCAGTTCTCTCCTTCCATCATGCAGGTCCCATGGATCAAACTCGGTGGTTCTCAGGTTTGGTGACAAGTACCTTCACCCATGGAGACATCTCACCAGCCCATGCTATCATTTTTAATTCTCAGATGATCGCCTACAGTAATAGATCTGACACCCAAAGCTCCAACATTCAGCACCACTTGGTCCTTCAAAATCCTCCAACGTAATTTCCTAGAACCTCCCTTCACAAGTCAAAATGCCCCCTCCATTCTCTTCCAATAAAAAAAAGAGAAAAGTTAAAAAAAAAAATCAAAACACAAACAAAAACAACTTCAGCAGGTATAATATTTCCTGTCTCAACAATATGAACAAAGGCCAAACATCCAAATTTCAAACTTTTCATTAAAACAAGTAACCAAGCAATGATCTGGGCTAGCAAAAGAGGTTGGATTTAGTAAACTTAATGCTGCCAAAAGAAACATGGCAGCCAGGCTGCTGGCACACATCTTTAATCCCAGCACTCAGAAAGTGGAGGTATGTGGATCTCTGTGAGTTCAAGGTCAGCCTGATCAATAGTTCCAGCCAGCCAGGGCTACACACTGAAACCCTTTCTCAAAAAAAGATGGCTGGGTGGGTGGATGGATGGATGGGTGGATGGCTGATGAATGAATGGATGGAGAATGATGGAGGATGATGGATAGATGGATGGATAGATGATGGATGGATGGATGGATGGATGGATGGATGGATGGATTTGAGGATTTAGCTCAGTGGCAAAATGCCCCTTAGTTCACGGGGGAGGGGGGGAAGATATGCAAATGATAACTTTCTGCAGCAACAATGAATTACCAAAAATCTGTTTTCTTTTTTTCTTGAACCCACTTTTCTTTCTCTCATTCTATTGCCTGTTACCTAAAAGATTTGGAAATCTCCTCACTCCTGACACCAATCTTACTACTAATAATGTCTTTGCTATTAATAATGTCCATTATTAATAATATCCCCACTACTAATAATGTCCTCACTAATAATGACCTCACTACTGACACCAATCTCACTATTAATGTTTTCACTAGTAATAATGTCCTCACTACTGACACCAATCTCACTAGTAATGTTCTCACTACTAATAATGATCTCACTATTCATAATGTCCATTATTAATAATATCCTCACTACTAATAATGTCCTCATTACTAATGTTCTCACTACTAATAATGACCTCACTACTGACCCTAGTCTCACTACTAACAGTGTTCTTTTGCTGAGCAATCTATTCAATAACAACAAGCCATATTGCTCACACTGGGACCTGACAATTTTAGCCTTAACAGGCACGAAACAAGACTGGAAGCTGGAGAGATATCTCAGTTGGTAAAGTGCCTGCCTCAATGCATAAGGACCGGATGGTTCAGATGCCCAGCACCCATGGAAAACCTGTAACTGTGGGTCTGGAGAGAACGGGACGGAGACAGACAATTCACCACAGGAAGACACCCCCTCAAGCTCTTTGGCCAACCATATACGCACACACGCACACAGTCCAGTCTAGCCACTGAACGCTGCTGTTCTTTGACCTCCACATATGCACACATGTACACAGACATGTACTGACACTTCACAATACACTATACACACACACACACAGAGACACCCACAAAAATATTTTTGAAAAGAAATATTTTGAAAAGACAATACTTGGCATAAGAAAAAGCCACCTGCAAAAAAAAGAAAAGAAAAGAAAAAGAAAAAAGAAAAGAAAATTAAAAAGTCAAACTCTGGCTTTTTCACACCAACCTAACTTTTCAGCAGATCGTTCTTTTCTACATAGTCCTGAGAAACCAATGTTACACAGAGGCTCATGAAGATGGGGTGGCATCAGCAGAGACATTTTTAAAATCAACTTTTAACCCCCCCCCCCCCCCCCCCCCCCCCCCCCCCCCCCCCGTCCCATTCCTACACTTCCATAACCAGAGGCCTACTTAAGTTCTGAAAAGTAAAATTATCCCCAGGGTGCCTGAGCTGGCAATGTGAATGTGTACAAGTGATGTGAGATCTGTGTTAAGGAGGTATCACTTGTACATTAAGTGTCCAGACAAGTCCAATGCTATATTTTGTCTGTGAGCAAACCAGCTCTAATTCACTGAGGGAAAAAAAGCAATAGCTAATAACACTGATGACCATAATACACTTGGTAGCTAACATTCCTGAGCCAAACCTCTTCCCAGTATTCATTCACTCAATTCCATGGGGCAAGAAAGGTCAGACTTCAGATGAAATTCGTGGAGGCAATCCTCATTAAATCTGGAAGTCTACAAGATTATTAAATGCGGAAAGCCAGAAAGAAAAGCTAACACACAACTGTGTGAATAAAAATTGAGTTCAAGGATAATGAGAAAAACAGGGGAACATCGTCCACAAAAATAAGTGGGGGCAACTAATGAGCCAGCATCCACTAGATAGCGTCACAAGCAATCACCAATATTTATATCCCTATTCCTGCCTCCCCCTGAATGGAATAGGGATTAGGCCAAGGTGACTGAAATGGCTCAGGGTCGACTTTTTCATTTAAGGGTCTAAAAACTTTACATTTGTATTAGAGCAACATTGAAGTTGGAGTGGGATTTTTTTCCCTTAGAGCAGTATTAATTGCGGTGGGTCACCAGAAGAGAGTTTCTTTACATCTTCAGCTCCAGCTCCTAGGCAGTTGTTTGGCACTGGAAACGTGACAACATTTCTAAGCCTGTTTCCTGGATCCCAAGAAGTATGCATGACTTCACAGGCGACGGCCATCTACAAACTACCAGAGGGTACTGTGAGGACGGAGCTGCGCGCCAAAGTGGAACATTATTACCAGGACACAGAATCATTACCCGCTAGGATGAAGCTGCCCACACAAGAGATGAAGCCGGAGAGGAAGGAGTTGAAGGGGAAGGTGCCCACGAGGAGACAGTAGCCGAACTGCAGCGCCCCGGTCAGCAGTATATAAAGGAGATAGGCGTCCAGCAACTTCAGCCGCTGAGGAGTGGAGCTCAAGTACTCCTCGAGGAACCGCGAAATGACGGACACCACCGACGCCGACATGACGAACGCGGGACACTTCGGGTACCAGACGGCCACCGGGATGTGGTTCGCGCGTGCGCGCTGGCGGGCCCTAGCCCCGCCCACGCAGGCGTATTGGTCGGCCTTGGCGCGTCACGATTAATGCGCAGACGCAGATTGCATCCCTAGACTGAGAACTACAGCCGGAAGTAGGTTAATGCGCCTGCGTGTGGGCTAGCGCTGAGCAGGAGACGTGTACTATATCTTTATTTCCGCCCTGCGTTTGTTGACGCCCACTGTTGCTCAGGCGACGAGATTTGTGACAGGAACAAGGGGAAAGGTTTTACCGCGGACAGCGTAGCTTACCAGAGAGTTCCGGCTTTCTTTGATCCCCGTGTCCTCTGTGGTCAAACGTGAGAATCTGGTTAGAGACCAAGCTGGCGGTCTAGGGATTCAACCTGCCGGACCCTAATTCTCTTAAAAGCTCTGTCTGCAGATGCCTATGACAGATCGTTAGAGGAGGTCAAGCTCCTCCGCAGAGAGAACTATGCTTATCCGGGGCAAGCGCCAGTTCACACTGGCGGGTAAGGGTTGACCTCCACAGGATCCTGAACTGGAAGGCCGGATCTAGCCCTACGAAGAACCTAAGCCAGCAGGTATTCATTCATTCGACAAACGTTTGCTGGGTACCAACAAGGACCAATAACTTGTGGTTAAGTTGTAGGAACATTGGGGTTAATCAAACACAGTCATTGTCTAAAAAGGGAGGTAGTCACTTGTGCGTAGAGTGCAGAGTCAGAATCAGCAGCAATCCGCCCCAAACTGAACGTCTTAAATCTGTTGTAATATCTCGACATGTCAATGGTGAACGGCTCGCAAGAGCACATCTGGTTCAACCTGACCTCCGAATCATTTTATAGAAAACGAAACGAAAGTTTGAGGTTTTAACTTAAGAAAACTTCAGCTCCGCCTTCTGGTTTGCATTGCCTTTATAAGTTCACAATAACCAGACCTTCGAAACAGTATTTCTCGGCTTTCAGTTGCAAAGACTACCCAAACATAATCAGATACTTCATCTCAGCGTTTAAGTCTCACTTTCAACTGCCCTAGCTAGCTGAATGAGCAAAATTTCTAAAACAGCAACTGAACAACATCCCCTTGTTGTCTCTTGTTACTCGTATTTAGCCTGGAAACATTTAGCACCACAATCCTATGATGAATAAAGAACCTTGCTAGGTTCAGCAAATCATCTGTGTCCTTGGAAAGCCTTAGTCTGTTAGGAGAGGTAAATCCATATTCACAACCAAGGAGACTGCACTGCTTAAGAAATTGAGCCTCAGTGCTCTTGTGTGACTGGCAGAGCGGGTGGGGAAGAAAAGCCAGACTGGTTCCTATTCCCTGTAATATGACATGCATCTGCAATTGAACTTTTCTCCCTGTCTCATCACAAGTAAAAGAGCAGATTCCTCTGATATTCAACCTAACTCCAAATGGGCCAGGGGGCTGCTTTAATCGTCAGTTATGAATTCCTCAAGTTTCTATACCATCACTCCAGCTCCTTCCAGCAGTGACTTAGCCTTTGATCTGTGTCAGCTACCATCATTAACATCGACGTAGAAACTCCCTAGGAAGACAGACTCAATGCAAAACATCACTTACTGAGACAAGCACCACCATTCAGAGACAAAGCCTTTCTGATACAGTAAACTAAAAAATTTCTCAGCTACCTGACTTAACAATAAGAAAGAAAATTGTTTTGTGTTCAGTGTATAAACTTATCTATCAATAGGAAATCATACTATTGTTGGATTTGAGTGGCGTGAGTCAGAACATTAGTATGTGTAAAAGTTCATGTGCTGAGCAGTAGATAAAAGTGCAAGTTCCAAAATCAGATAAAGATGGTTTTGAACTTTGATTCCACCTACTACTAATTATCTAATCTCAGTCTGATGACTTAGTGTTTAATTGGCAGTTCTTCCTCTTCTTTTTTTAAAAATGTTTTATTTTATTTATTTATTTAATGCCGAATGCTGTTTATTGAAGGAGGGAAGAGTTCTTAAATACAGGCTTACAGCACAATGGGAGAACCCCAGAGGGCAGAAGTTCGCTACCGATGTTTTACAATCTTGCATCTAAGCTGTTAACACCCATTATGCAGGATACACAGACAAGGAACTTCCCTTAAGCATTCAAGAGGGTGGAACCCGGTAGGGAATTAGCATAGGGTCTTCCTCTTCTTTTTGACAAGATTTCTCTATGTAGCCTAGCCTGGAACTTACTATGTATCCCAGAGTGGTTTCAAATTTGCAATCCTTCTGCCTCTGCTTACCAAGTACTGAAATTACAGGTATGCACCACTATGACACCTAGGTCTCATTTTCCACTTCTATAACATAGAAATAACAATACCTGGATCACTGCAATGTTTTATTAGGATTAAATGAGATAATGTAAAACATTAAACATTTAGCAAAGTGCATAACACATGGTGAATGTTCAGAAAATGTTTGCTCTTATTAAATATTATTCTTCCTGATACGAACTCTTTCCTCTGTTTCTCCAAATAATTAAAAGTTGCCCATACTGCAGAGCTCCAATAATTTGGGCATACAAAAAATGGCACCAGGATTGCAAATCAAACGGCTGGCAAAAGAAATAGGATTTAAAGTTAAATCAGAAATCAGAGAAGACCTTAGAAGCTTCACAACTAAGATGATCAACAACGTAAGACTTGGGAGAGTGGCAGGGTGAGAGGGTGCCCTTACTGGGCAAAGTCCATGATTTTGCATCCTTTCTCTTAGAATAAGAAATTATATTCTCTGTGAAGACAAACACAAATCCTAAGTTTGAGCAGGAGAAGACTCTTGTAGAGACAGTCTCTCCGTGGAGAAGAGGCTCTCTCAGTTCTTTCCCTCCGTATTTACTTTGCCCTTGACTCCCTTTGCGTCTCTCTGCTCTAGCATGTAACCATCCACTTTTAAAGCTGTGGTCCGTGTTAGACCAAGACCCTTCTTTCCTTGTTCTCTAATCAGCAAATAAAGCACGCTACCTATGTGTTTGTTTCGTGATGCTAGGGATCTAGCATGCTAAGCCAATACTGGACCTCTGAGCTATACCTCCAGCATGAGATTCTTTTCAAAAAGAAAATTATAACAGAATCAAATTTCAATAAACACAAAGCGTGTTTTCTCAACCATGGTGCTTTCTGCTCCAAGTTCTAGTTGAGCAGCGAATGTCTCCAGTGAGCCTGTCTCCCTTCATCCAGGCATCCCTGCTGTGTAGCAATTCCGATCTTCTGTCTGATTTCCTTCTCACCTAGCTCTTTGGGGAGTCCCAGAAAAGCTTCAGTCTTGCTAGGTGTGGTGGCGCACACCTTTAATCCCAGCACTTGGAAGGCAGAGGCAGGCGGAGCTCAGTGAGTTCAAGGCCAGCTTGGGCTACAAACTGAGTCCAGGACAGCCAGGGCTACACAAAGAAACCTTGTCTCTAAAACACACACACACACACACACACACACACACACACACACACACACACACACACACACACAAAAGCACTTCAATCTTGTCTTCTCTGGCAACAAAAAAGAATTTGTCCTATTTTCCTTTATGAGAGTAGCATTTACCAATGGAAGAGGATTGCTAAGAATTGTTGCTCTCGCTACAACAGAGATCTGAAAACACCACACTTAAGCAGCACTACCCTGTTCAGTAGAATTTTCTTTAATGAAAATGCCTGTGCCCATCAATATGAGAACAACTAGACACGTGTGGCTACCCGAGCAATGAAAACAGAGCTAGGAGTAACCAAGGAAAGTGCATTTGGGTTTTGTTCCTTTCAAACTAAGCCAAAGGCGGGGTAGGTGGCTCAGCAGTTCAGAGTGCTTGCTGCTCTTACAGAGGACCTGAGTTCAGTTCCCAGTACCCAGGTCAGGTACCTCATAAATGCCTGTAACTCCAGCTCTAGGGGATTCTGACAGGCTGTTTTGGCCCACGTGAGCATCCACTCTCACGTGTACCTTTCTCACCCTCCATTCCACACACACATAATTGAATCCTTTAAAAAAAAATTAAGCCGCATACAGGTATCACTGGACAGAGGACTTTGAAGCTGTTTTATTCAGTCCCTATGTTTAGTCCAAGACTCACCTTGTTCGTTCAAAAGTCAGCAGCACCCATTTGAAGAAGTGATTCATTCCTTCCAGGGCTGGGCTATATCAGCTTATCCACTCCACCTACTTTTGGAGGGGGTTGACCAATTAGATTCTATTCCTAAAGAACATATTAATAGGGCTGCTGAGATCTCAGTGATTAAGAGCACTTGTTGCTCTTGTGGATGACCTGGGTTTGGTTCCCAGCACCAACACGGAAGCTAACAGTCATCCATACCTCCAGTTCCAGGAGAATCAGACACCTTCTTCCACCTTCCTGGGGCAGCAAGTATGCCTGTGGTGTACACTCGAGCAAAACACACAAACACATAAAGTAATCTTTAAAAATTAAAGAACACAATACTTTAAAAGCACATCGAATCATTCATATTTTAAAAAATCAGAATCATGTAGACAGGAGGGTGCATTCTTCCATATGTACACATCATGTGTCTTAACTTCAAGATAAGAAGGGGAAAAACACATTTTTCTCTCCAGAAACTTGTCTAGATCGGTACCAAAGGTCCATTTCATTGTATCTAGTTCCAGCAGATCCACCCAATCCTGAGTTACCTCAGTTCTGGAGATACCTTAAGGGTAACTTTAGTTGTAAATGGCATTTTCCACATATTCAAATTTCTTCCTTCTAGACAATTATTATAGTGGGAAATTATGCTAAAGCTGACTTGGCACATGTGGAGACAGAATGCAAATGTTCTCTGCACTGTGGTGAGATACATTCTAGAATCTAGAATGCCCTAGTTCCACCGGATCATTCTTGCCTCAAAAGGACCTACATTTTCTAGGTTATCAGGAAAAGTGGGATGTGAAAACAGCTCAGGATTTCTGTCTCGTGTCATTTATATTATAGTCCCCAAACCCTAGTCAGCACTTAGTCCTGTAGGTAACCATTCTTGCTTCTGCTTACTTAACGGTTCGCCCATCCATTTATCAAGTGCCAAGCACTTACCCTGGCGCACCTGTTCTAGGTGCTGAGAGCAAAGCAGAGGAAAATTCCCCCAGGAAACTTAGTCTCTAGTGGAGGGAAACATGAGTAAGAAATGTGCAGGATCTTTTCAGTGGTATTCTGAAGAAAATGAAGTCATGTGGTAGAGTGACGGAGGCCTCTTGTAGAAGAGGGGAAGTTTGCTATTAATTCTGACTACATAGTTGCCAGCTCTCCAGAGCCCTCCTAGGGAAGTCTGGGACCAGCAGAGGAGGTCATTTCCTTTCTTCTTATCAATGGATTCTTTGTGCCAACATAATGTTTGGCTTTGAACATTAAATGTAGCATTTTTAGAGTAAGTTTGCTAAATGTTTCTTTAAGTTAACTTAGCTAATTCGCACGAGACACAATACAAACGGAAGAAGCAACCTGATAAAAAGACTTGCCCAAGATCAGGAAATGGATAATTGGCAAAACTAAGAACTTGACCTAGGTCCAGATTTCTGACCATGGGCTCTAGGCTTTTAATTAGCTAGTGGGTCTACCAGCATCATCAATGC